TTGTTAGGATTTAGCTAACACAGGTCGTTCATATCAAACACCATTAATAGGACCACAAATGCTTAAGGCCCAGTCACAAATCAGTTGCAATGCGTCGGGGATGGGTAAAACCCGGGAAATTTGAACAAAATCTTGAAACAGATCTCACGATTTTGCACCCGTTGGAGGCGCTCTCCAGACGCCTGCGGGTTGTCGCAGATTTTTTAGACATCGCCACACCCGTCGCGGTCCCCAACTTTGAACTTATAATTTTAAGATTGCTCGCAAGATTTTTCACCCATTTTGGGCATCCCAGACACAATCTCCGATGACCTACGATGTCCTCCGAATAATCTGAATAATTCCCCCACATATACCCAGGGGGAAAAAATTACAAGAAAAGACGCTCGCAGATATCGTCTCCGATTGCCTCCGAGGCTAATCCCACGATTTTTCAACAAAACCGGGTCAAAATCCTTGAAAAAATCTCAGACAATGTGACTGCTCCACTTTTATTAGGATTATTGCTAGGATTGTTCAAGGATTCTTTATTTTCTACGACGACCCCCTGCCAAAACTAATCCCCGACAGATCGCCGACATTGTGACTGGGCCTTTATGAAGGTCCACACCAATAATAACCTATCATAATAATAATAACCTATTTAGGTCTCCCTAAATCTGCTCCCTTGATATTGATTCCGAAGGCTTTTATCCCAATGCTTGGGACAGACGCTAGTTTTGGGAGCAGGTTCAGAAGTTGGAGACTTCACACAGATCATGTTGCTAGTGAGCATCAACAAATAAACCTTATCTTGAAGACAGTGTGCGCAGTGAATGAAATTATATGAGGGTTATTTAACACTGTTGATTTATGCAGTATTTAAGATGAAGTATTAAAAAGTCTTTAAATATTTTCAGGAATGACACCAGACCTGGTCTTGTGCCAAAAAATGTAGCAAGAAAATTGCAGCAGGAGAAAAAAGAGAAGATACTAAATGAAAAAAATAAAATTAAACCAAAAAAGGTTATAGAAGCAGAAAAAAGGGAGGAAGGTCTGCAAAATGCAATCAGCAGTGAAAACAAAGGTTTTGCATTGTTAAAGAAAATGGGTTATAAACCAGGAGCAGGTATTGGAAAAAAAGGTAAATGGATTGATAATTAATGTACATTTGTATTCCCAGCTACTACAGAGCTAGAGCCACTGAAGATTTAGTGAAATTGGACTTGGGACGCAATATATTCCTCATTTCAAAATATATCAAATCTTATGTTTGCAGAAAATAACTACAGTACTACTAGTAGTTGTGTATATCAGTACTAGTTGTGATACATGTTTTACTTCAAATTAACTTATGCAGTTACTGTAGTGCCATTATATATATATATGCTAATTTACAAATATTTTTATTGCTTTTTTAGTTACTTTTATAAATATTTAATGTGTATAAGAAGATGTTATGCATTGGATGTGGGGTCTGTTATTCTAACACATATACACTCCAAATGATTCAGCTTATTTTATGTTGTTTGATAGCATGTTAAGTTTTTTTCTTTTGTCAGGTGATGGCCGTGCAAACCCTATTCCCATTGAGGTCAAAGCTGACAGAAGTGGACTTGGCAGAAGTTCAGAAATGAAGAGAAAACAAGCCGAATCCCAGGCATTGCAAGCCTTAATGTTGCAAAAAAGAATGCGGTACACAGTGTTTTAATATGACACAAATTATAAGGTCCCATATTCTTGTTCTCAGTAGTTCCATTTTGCTTTGCCTATTATAGTTGCTTTTGCTAATGCTAGATTATAATGAATTGTAATATTTTCTTTGTTATTATAAGTAGACACAAGATTTACATTTACTAGACAAGGTTTACTTCAAAACAGTTCCTTTGAATTAGTTAAGTTAAAGATGCATTCATCTTATATGATGATTTTCAAAGCATGTTGGAGCATCATATATAAACACTGAATTAAAAGACAGGTACTGTTTGCATTCCTTTATTAAACTTTTTTATTTCAATAATATGGTATGTAGGCAGGAGAAGGAAATACAAGGCAATTTCAGGACCAGAATGAGCAGCAAGGTTGCAGATAGACATATTGAAAGTGATTTGCATAAGAGTCAAAAAGTCTGTGAGCAATTAGACTCTGAGAAGGTGAGCAAAGTGAAATGAAAGAAATATCATTTTGGGGAAGAAATTTACATAATGTCTTTAAAATGTATTGACCTTTGAAATATTAGACTTGTCATTAGGTATTAAACTGTTACATTGAAGTTGCCATATACATATGTAGATGTAGAACTAACAAAAAAAAAGATATACAGTATCAGTGGAATCTCACCTACATGGATATGTTGATAAAATTTTAGATATAATGAGCTTCAGCACCAGGGGTGACCTATTTAGAAAAAAGATGTACTCATCATCTCTCATCTGTTTTCATCACTGTGGACGCCTGTGGGAGGATTAAGGATTGCTTAGTGACACAGTTTGTACTCCTGTTTGTTGGAACCTCAGTTTGCTGAGGCCAGTGATTTTGTTCATGAAGAGTTTTGCTGACATTTCATGCTTCATTTATTCTCGGAGTTTCCTCCACAGGACAGATAGAAACTAGTCAGTTATGTTTGTTCCAAACAGAGGTTAACCTGTTTGGTGTATTAAAATGATTGTGGCCACTTAGATTCAAAGTTTTTCCTCAAATGCAATATTGTCATAATATTAAATTTTTACTTTTATTTTCATAGGGTTTAGAAAAACCGGCCGAACAGTTTTTCTGGCCTGTAGCAAGTTTACCTAAAAAAAAAACATATGACCTAGAGGAGGGAGAAGGTTATAGTTTTGAGGTTCAGGATCAAGATGGAGAAGAACAGGAAGAGGATGAAGAAGATGAGTTGGAGGTAAGTTTCTTTTTCATGGTAGACTGTATATATATTTGATATAATTAACTTACCTGATCTTTTCCAGTGCACCATAATTTGCATTATTATTATTGGTTTGAAAATAAATGCGTGAATGAGTGAAAGACGAATTCGGGTGATGAAATGAGAAGTGACTTTCCTACATTTTGTATCAGTAACTTAAAAGATAAAGTAGTGTATAAAAAAGCACTGTTATTGTAGGTTTGGATTCTGGGGATATCTGCTTAATGTATTCTGCACTGGACAAGTCTGCTATTGCCACCCTGAGCTTCAGAGCTAACTTGACACTAACCTTTTCACTGTAGCCTATCTCCATCGTGTCAAGTAACCTCTGACGAAAATAGTTTGACCTAGTTTATATAAGCCAATCGAATCCATGTTTCAAAATTTTTCACCAAAGTTTGGTGAAAACGCTGATTGGTTGATCGTCAATCGTCAATCCTCGGCTGATTCCGCAAGCTCCATACTAACAACATAGTTATTGTCGAGTGCGGAGACATCCGAGTAGTTCCGAGTGGTTCCGAGTGCATAACAGTACACAAAGAAAGCATGGAGTATATCGGAATTGAAACCAGAGCAGTATGATGCCCTGCATCATTATCTACTGAGNCGTCAATCCTCGGCTGATTCCGCAAGCTCCATACTAACAACATAGTTATTGTCGAGTGCGGAGACATCCGAGTAGTTCCGAGTGGTTCCGAGTGCATAACAGTACACAAAGAAAGCATGGAGTATATCGGAATTGAAACCAGAGCAGTATGATGCCCTGCATCATTATCTACTGAGGGATGATGTATTTTGCGTGCTGCCCACAGGTTACGGCAAGTCCCTGATATTCAGCCTTATGTTTGATTGGTCCGGATTTGAACAAAGCGGGCTTTGACTCGTTCGCGTTCATTGGCTAGATCGTTCAATGAGTCATTGAGTGCGGGCTTTAAATTTGATTGGCGGGCGGCGGGGACACTCGAATCTGGTCAGAGGTAACTTGACACGATGGAGATAGGCTACAGTGAAAAGGTTAGTGTCAAGTTAGCTCTGAAGCTCAGGGTGGCTATTGCTCACTCAGACATAATATTTAATTAGCAGTCATTTGCGTTTCATAAAGTTGATTTACAAAGAACTTGCCAAGGTTGGATGTCTAGTTGCAATTATTATCGCCTTAAGATTTATTGGTACATATTTTCCTATCTTTGAAATCTTTCCCTCTCCAAAAAGCCTTTAAATTAATTTATAGAACAAAAAAATATTGGTCTCCATTCCTATCTTTAAAATCTTTCCCTCTCCAAAAAGCCTTTAAATTAATTTATAGAACAAAAAAATATAGGTCTCCATTCTATGTTAAAGTTAATTTGTAATAGGGACAGAGAGTGGTTTAAAAGAAACAGGATGTAATATAATTGAAAACACTGTAGAATAACCCATTAGTTTTTTTATTATTTATTTATTTACATCTTTCATCTGTTTGTATTACATCCTTCCAGCCTACAGCAAAACTGGAGATTCTTACTCTGTATTTGAGAAATACACACATGTATTGTGTTTGGTGTGGAACTGCATTTGAAGGTAAACAAGATAACACAAAATCAAAAAGTTCTGTCAGAAATAATTCATTGAAGTGTACAAATGCATTTTTATTGAAGGGAAAGCTTAAAATATGTTTTCAAGTTGTCTTTAAATAATATTGAATTATGCTTTTAATGATTCTCTGTATAAGTAATAATTTTACCTACAAGTATAGTAACATGCCTGTTATGTTTTCAGATTCAGATGACATGAGAATTAACTGTCCAGGCCCATCTTCTGAAGCACATAAAGATTTCATATGACTGTCTAGAAAATTACTTGTACCATTTTGCCATGTTTTACAATTGAACGAAAGCAGAGTGCAATGAGGCAGCTTAATAACATGCTTAATGTGTTAAGAAAATGACAGACTAATTGTTTAAAACACAGAAGCAGGGAGGTGAATCTGAAAACAAATGGACAAAAATGAGGACATTTGTTGTGTAGGTATCTTTTGGATCAAGGACATATTTGTGAGAGCCTGTTTTATTAAAGGGATAACAACTGTTCGTAAGATATCCTTATTTCACAATAAATACATTGTAAACAACTCATAGAAATATAATAAATTCTATTTTACAACCAAAACGGCGGTTAACACAATTATTTTGGAATTTCTGCTTGCCATCACATCACGTAACCTCCATAGATGGCTACACTCTGTAATAATCTCTTAAGAGATTATTACAAAAAAGCAAACTTTTTTGAAAAAAAAAAAAAAAAAAAAAAAAAAAACAGGGACTAACATTGAATGTGGAACTGGATTCATTAACCATTGGTAAGTATGGGAAAATTGTCCTTTACCCCAGGAAAATTCATTTTTTGGCCAAAATGAGCAGTTGTTATCCCTTTAACCATTTGTCTTTAAGCCAGACAAAATTGGTAAGTTGGCCAATGAGACCCACCCATACTACTTTTGGGGAAATCAAATGTTTTGCACCTATCTTTTTTTCAAATGAGAAAAATGCATTGGATAGGTGCTTAGTAAGTGGAAAATTTAAACATAGATCACGGGGAAAACCTTAATGCTATAGTTTTTGCACAGTAAAATGGAACACTGTGGTTTTGACATTGATTTCAGCCCTCTTAAAATAAATGACCAAGCCTGGCATTTAGCTGGCATTAAACTTTGCATGTATAAAATACAAAAACAATTTTATCTGCTAACCCGCTTTACAGAGTTGCAGCACATTAACCAACTTATCAATTTTGTCTGGACTTATCACAAATTTTTCATTCAAGTGCTCATCATCATACATCTAGAAAATGACATTTGTCATGTTGGAGATTTACCATAAAGGAAAATCATATCCTCCTTGGAATTTTATTGCTTTATTTGAACTGAACATTCATGTCATGAAGGCTTCTCTTTTTTTCAAGAGCGCTACCCCAGGTACTTTTCTAAAAAGTCATGTTTATGTCTGTTCTTACACACCGTTATTATCCCTTGTAAGGAATCAAAAACATCCTTCAGTTTAGAATTTTTGTCCACTTTTTATCTTTTATGTGTTGTTCATGTTTCACGTTTCCTTACTTTCATTTCCCTCTGCATTTTGCTTTTTTGTTTTTCTTACATATTTTGGCAAGCTTTCTATGAAACGCCCTTGAGATAACAGTTTTTGGTTAGCCTTCCGTGTTTGATATTCACAATAAATACTGAAAGTATAAGAAAATTCAGGAGCTAAAACCAAGCTTGCACATTTCATCATTTTTATTAACTTTGTTTCTTAAAAAAGAACTGTATTTCACTACTTTTTATCTAAGAAACATCCAATTTAGAAATTTTCAATGAAGCAGAAAAAAGGCAAACTTACAGTGAGGTATTTGTAACAACAGCAAATGCAGGAATGGTGTACAAAACACTTTTTGTTGTTCCTGAAATGAAAAGAAGTACTTCACATGAAATCAGACCCAATTTCTCATCACAAAACCACTAGTACATGGTTTGATAAAATTGTAAGGAAGAATGTATTACTCCTGTGTACAAGTTGGAGGGTAGGGAATACTCCCCCCCCCAAAAAAAAATCACCAAGATCAAACCGCTCATTCACCAATCACCAAGATATATTCAGGCCAATCACCAAGAATTCCTGAATCACATTTCACGCAGAATATTGGGCTGAAATAACGCATCACGCCAATCACGCAGAACACAAAAGGTATTCCCTACCCTCAAGTTAATGTTATAAGAAAAAATTATTAAACAAATATTGTTAAAACATTTTTTAAGAATGGACAGGTATATTTAACAGGTATCTTTTAAAGGGGAGAGGTCACAGGAATAACAAAACCCTCTGAAATGTTTGTCTTTTGACCTGTAGGAAAAATCTGCTTCTTTGTTTCAATTCTATTTTTAAATTATCAATTTCATTAAACACCAGAACTGTCTTTGCTACCCAGTAAGATATAATTGGATCCACTTACCACGTACAAGAAATGCAACAAGCCCTACAACAGCTGCACCCGTAACTCCATGTTTCAGACAGCCTTTCCCACAAGGTGATTGCTGACAATGAAAATATGGCTTTGATAAACCTCGTATATGAAACAATGTATTTTATGTTTCTGGAACTTTTCATAAATCTAGATGGAAACCAACCGCAGAAAATACACCAACAGTATACTAGTATCTAGAAATCTACGAAAGGGAGTAATTAACTTTATATCAATAATGTCAATAATTAATATTATTTATTAATATTAATAACGCTGTGTTTCCATGTAACATAAATAACTAGTACTAGTGTTACTTACATAACCACCAGCAAATCTTCAGTACGGAATTACCAAAAAGTTGGAATTACATAAGCCCTTGGGCTTGCTTCAGTAATCGACACAATACATTTATAATGAAATAAAAATATACTGGTAGACTACAGGCTACAGCCTAGGTGCCGATAGGCAATTAATGTGCGTGTACACTTATCTTTGCACACTGCATTATCAGATCTGATGATTTCAGATTTATGCAAGCACACTCTTTAATAGCAGTATTTAAGACGTTATTATATACTTACATAGAACTTCTTCCACCTTTCTTTTGCATCACTATAGAAACCCATTATAAATCACCTCTCCTAGCGTAAATCCTGTAAATGTCATAACATGTGTTCATTTCTGACCTTCACCTTTGAAACCGAAATCACTTACAATCACAATTTTGGATGGCTGTCGTTTACGAAATGCGTTGAAACGCCAGATTTGATTGGATGCAATATTTTTGCCTCCACGAGCAGAAGAACAACATGTTATATGGGAAATGCTGCAGTAGGAAACACTGATGAATCCAGACGTACATGTACGTAAAGATCCACCCGTTTGAATGTAGCGCGACATGTGCTCTGCCAAAAAATGTACGTTGCCGAAACTGTAGTCAAAGAAGGCAATTCTAAAAAGCTTTTTATATCTTAATTTTTGATCGAGATACAGTTGTTAGCAAACTTGCATTGCTTCCAATAATTAAAGTGCAATCCATAATAAAATTACAAATATTTAAATATAGATGTATAAGTATTTACTATAGTATCACTTTTAATACTTCTGCTAAATTGACCTCAAAAACGGGGGGTTTACTTTAGGACAGAGCTTGTTAAGTTATGAACACTGCTTAAAGACCATGACTCCTTCAATATCAGTCTACCTGCACATGTAATTCTGCTGTAACCCTAAAAACATGTATAAAGTTCCCTTAACATCTGAAAGTAGGAAAGTTTAAACAAAAACTGGTTCTTTATCAGAATATTCCACATATACTACTAGCATATAGCCATAACATGGTCATTCTCTACATGGGCAACTGTTTTCAATGCATGTTTCAATTTTGATTAAATGCAGTATTTTAATTCATTCCAGAACTGGACAAAGGAGTGAATCTCGTGGACATCAGTCAAAAAATTTAAATTGCATCTAGTTCCTTTTTAACACTGGAATATGGCAAAAAGTATATGTTCACTTATGGAAACCAACAACACAACTGTTGATGATATGTGCAACAGACTTGGCACCACCAACGCACACTTTAAACATCAGCAAAGAGGAGAACCAGACCTCACAGTGTCACAGAAAGCAGATATAGCTAGAGAAATTTATGCAAAAAACCCTGCAACATTCCTCTCTAGGTTTGGTAAATATATGCTAGAAGAAGATGTGTCTCATTTTGAAAATTTTAAAGGAAACTATGAAGTAGATTTTCATTTGAAAGAGTTAAGAAAACAGTTCAGTAAAAAAGAGAGTAAAACCATAATCAAAAACAGGAGGTATGAAGCAATGAAAAAACTTATAGAGGATGGGGAATACTTCTCAGAGGAGGAAATGAAATCTAGGAATCCATTATTGTATGAACAGATGATTGGCCAATATTTGACTGAAGAAGAAATTCAAGAAAAGGCAGGGACATTTGATAGAGCAGACTGTAGGTTTTCACACATTTTAATGGACCATGTAGGAATAGTGCTTCAGAATGAATTGTACTACAAACAAAAAGAAATAGAGGTATGTATTATGTGATACTGCTATCTATACACAGCTACTGCATGGAACTGAAGAGAAAAGTAATTTTTCCTTTTAAGGTTAAATTCATATCTTGAAATACTGAATATCTTGAAATACTAAATGATATTTTGTTGCATACTTGAAGGTAAAGTTGCTGTTATTCAGTTATGCACAAATGTAAAAACCATTGGTATTTCTAAGAAATTCCATTTTGTTGACATTTTATTGAAAATACATTTCTTATGGCATGTTTGTAGAATGACCAATGTGAGGAAAGTGAAGAGGAGGAGGAGGACGAATGTGAGGAAGAACTTGAAATGGATAATGGTAAGACTAGTTAACATGCCTTGTATAGATATCATTGATTTAATATCAAAATTCAGTATTTCTTTTCACCATCAGAAAAAAAAGAATATCTTGCTCAGACACAAATTCTTCTTTATTTTATTTTATTTTGTTAGAAAGCAATTTAATTTTTCTATTTTCCCTTACTCCAGGTCAGAGTAAAGATGGCAGGGAAAATCTTCCAGAAGCTGAACGCAACTTGTTAAAGGAAGAATTTTTGAACATAATGAAAGAGAGATTTATGAATGGAGAAGATGAAGATTTTGATTATAGGTAAATGAAACCAAAGTATTTGAATGATTGACATGACTTGAAAACTAAAGCCCATATACATTTAGATTACATAATGCAAGACAAAGACAAATACATACAAAATTACCTGACTCAATTTAATTGTAAATTTTTTTATTGTAAAAGTAAATTTTTGACATTCTCTATTGATTTATGATAAAATTTCATCTATCATATCTTTGATGTTAATGAATTATAACAAAATTCATTGAGTGGGCAAATCAGATTACTAAATCTACCTGAACTTTACAACAACATATGAAAATTTAATGTAACTTATGGTATTATGACCTAATTAATATATCCCTGTTATTAAAGCCATTGTTTAAATTACATCAAATAACAATTTACTTTGAAATAGTAGAGTTTGTTTATGTATCAGAAATCTCTGTTTATTCATTTTCAGTAAAGTGGACACAAATGCAGAATATGACTCTCTAGACATCCGGGAACACGATGAAGAGGAAAAATACTTTGATGAGGAAGAACCAGATGATTTACTTATTGAAAGCCATGATGACATGGAAACTGTATGATTCCCTGCGTGAAAACAAGTTTTTTTTTTTTTACAAATCCTTGGAGTTGTTGATATCCATTTACTTATTCTGGATGTTTAAATAAGTATTGCTTTGACTTACATGCAATGATGGGAATTTTTTGCCTGGTTAATGCTTCTTGCTGGAAAGAAATGCAGTTTAACAGCACTGCCCATCTTTTTTTATTGCATCTGTGTTGTAAGAGGATTGCAGCAGTGGTGTATTACCCAAAGGATCAGAACTGATGTAGCAGATTGACAAATGTTACCATAATAATCATACAATGCTTCTAGTAAAACTTGTAAAGAAAATAAAATGTTTTACAGATAATATGACTAGCCTCTTTACCCTTTCTTGTTTCTTGAGTGAATCCAAATGTGATGTCTTGTGGCCTTGGAAAAATACCCTTTACTGGGATTTACAAGAGTGTATGTCGGTATAGTCACTGCAATTAAATAATTCACATATTTTAATTTTGATGAAAAAGTTCTGTTTACTGATGATATTTATGTAGAAGTTTTTGTTTTAAACCTCACATTTACTTAGTCTGTCTTACGTGCCTTGCAGGAAAACACCCTGTGATTTAGATTTGCTGAAAGTTTATTCACAAGGCTCTTCAGACCACATAGTACTTTTTTCAGAATTTCTGCCTAGTGCTGTAACAGCCCTTTAAAACGTAAGCAGAAACGTAGCACTTAAAGCTTCTCGTGAATCACATTTTACCATGAAGCGATCTCAAAAGAGATCATTTTTGTATCCTAGATACTGCTACCTGTTGCTGTACTTTCTGAGCCGAACTTAAAAAATTAAGTAGCCTTCATGCTGCTGTTCACGCCTGATGTGATCTTTTGTATGACTGTCCATATACTTTTCTATCCCATCTTTCTGAGTTACCTTAAAGCTACATGTACATGTGTACACTCTGAAATTTGATTACTACATGTATGCCAAATCATCTTTATCCTCCAAAGTTCCAGACTTGTATAGACACAAATCCTTATTCTAAGCGA